AGCCGCGCCGCCGCCGACTTCTTTCGGCTCAAAAGCTAAGCCGGCTTAAACGTAGCCGCTGATAAATATTAGAATCACACATGTATTTCAGAACATAATTTCACCAGATTGAACGGAGTTGCCACTATTTTAAATTCTTATGGAAAATTGAAAAGAGTTGCCACACAATATTGTGCTAATATTAAAATAGTGAAAACTACTATAAATGTCCATTTTCTGCAGAAAAAAACTTATATAGAGACAGGTTTCTATGTAACAGACTATTATACAAAGATTTTTCAATATAATAAACCTTATAAGGTCAATTTCTAAAGAAAAAGTTAAATTGAGCCGACAATTTAGCCGCCGCCGATATTTTCTGTAATAAGCCGCCGCCGCCGATCAAAAATGGTTGCGCCGCCGCCGCCGATCATTCCCCATCGGCTTGTATCTCTGATGTCAGCAGCTGCTACAATGTTTTTCGAATGTTGTAAGAATGTTTAGTGTTGCCAATTGTTTATTTCAACATATAAACAAAAAATTCAAACGATTTTAGCATAAAAAACGATAAAGTGGTAACACTGAAATCAAAAACAAACAGCTGTTTACCAAAACAAAAAAACTTAAATTTTATTAAAAACTGTTTATTTATAAGTTTTAAATGTGGAATAAAGAAAATAAAAGAATTGAAAATTCAAAGAAATTAATTTGGTTTACTTCGCATGTTTAATTAATTTAATATTTTTGATTTTTTTATCTTTTGACATTCTTATGTATATTTGTTTTGACTTTTATTCTCTTTTTTGTCATACGTATGGAATTTTATTTTACTTCTTCATTAGATTTGTACGTAAAGTGTGATCGTCTGAAGGGCCTTTAAACGTGATAAATATATGGAAAACGAGTAGAATTTGAGGTGTTTTTTGAAGGCACATCATGTGTTTCAAAAAACACGAATATGTGAACGTAGTATAAAGAAGTTTTAAAAAGTATATTTTTTTGAACAATAGAAAAACAATTTCACATTTAAATAAAGTATTAAATAAACATGAACTATTTTAAATATTGTATTTTCAGTGTAGATTTTGAGTAAATAATTAAAGCTTACAAATAACATTTATTTCGAAATATTTTAAACAAATAATAATAAGTCTATTATTTTGCTTAGCACTGTACGAAGATAAATATAGTAAAGGCAAGAATTTTCATGCACTTAAAAATGAAAAATATGCGCTTATAACATGCAATATACTGTGAATCAATTAAGTAATTTGCCAATGTAAAAGTTTATAAATTTTAAGAAAAAACTTTATCTGAACAATTATTTTTAGCAAAATAAAGCAATTGGTTTGTTGTATTTTTTAAAGAATATCTTATATTATAATTTTCTACCATAAAAAGTAAATCGTGATATTAATTGACGAGATTTTTGATAAAATGTGAACGTATTGTTAATCTTTAAGGTCAATAATCTATTTTGCTTTTTTAGGTTTTTTGTTCATTTTTTAATATTGCTGCATTATTTTATAAAATTTAATATTTTTATTACTCCTATATATTAGAATAACATTTTTTAGATATTTTAGTAGTGGAACGACTAAGTTTGGAAATTTCTTAACCGATTTATTATCCTATGTATCTATAAGAATTTTTCAATATTTGACTTAACATGAAATCTATCGTTTCTTTGATTTAATTTCGAAAATAATAAGTAATTTTGAATTGGATACATGATATATTAGGAAATCAATTGATTTGGACCTAGAAAAAAAATTTTAGTGGGGTATAAATCTATAGATTATAACAAAATAATCTGGGTGTTTGGTCATTTTGTATTGATAAACAAAAACTACATTACGGAAACCCAATCTATTTGGGGAGTACTGTGTGAATTTTATTTAGAATTGTATAATATTGATTATTATTCAATAAAGCTAACACTAAGTACCATCCTAGCCACTCTAAGTATGGGGATATCACCGTATACCACTATAGAACTACTTATTACATGCTAGAATTTTGATATTCTACCTCATATTTTGAATGCATTATTTTATGAATAAAATACAGTAGGCGTAGTTGGATAGTTATTCTTGATTTGGGTTCTAGCTAAATATAAGTGTATGTATTAGCTGAAAAATATTGCTTTTGTGGATCTTAGGTAATGAGAACCGCCTCTATTTGTAAATATCTAAATTAAGTATTTTTCCCGTACCACACGATAGTTCACCTTATATTGTTTCCAAGCAACCTAAGGTCTGTTTAGAGGTTTAAACATAGTGTTCTTTTAAGTTCGTATATGGACTTTGGAGAAGATAAATGAGGACTCCAATGGTTTTTGCTTGGATACAAGTCGCTTTCCTTTGGCAGTTAAAGATTTTGAAAGACAAATCAGTGCGTTTTTTAAATAATTCTTTGTGTTATTTCATCAATTTCTATATTTAATATTTTTTAATGATTGATTAAACATCTCATATTTGAATTTCATTGATTTATACTTGTTTTAAAAATCTAAACAAATTTTTTATATTGGAATTGCCTCATTATTTCCCTTTAAACATTTTTAACGCAAATAACTACACAGTTTCACACAATAAGGATATGATTTTTGAAAATTACAATTGAAAAATACTTAACACGTCTCCTTTTAACAATAAAACAATAAATTCCAAAAAGCAATTAAAAAATAATTTGAAAACCCCAACGAAATTAACTGGAAATTTCAATATGCAAAATACTTCATTGACGTGCAAATTCTGACGAAAAATAATAAAATGCAACAACAAATGCACCAAAATTTTTATTTTAATATTTTTTTCTTGGTTTTCCCATTCTACACAATCTCCATTTTCAATTGGAAAACATAAATTTACTTTTTACCTGTTTTTTTTTTTTTTTTTTTTTTAATTTTATTTATGAACAAAAAACAAAATTCTCTTAAAAAAATGTAGACAAAAAACTTAGTTGATTCACTGTAAATAGGGAAAATATGCACTAAAAATGTGGAAAATATGCACCAAAAATATTTTCTTGCGAAATTTATTTGTTATCAATAATTTTACTTTTATCTCATTTAAGTACCTTTTTAATATAAATATTTAGAACTTAAGTTTTTGACAACAAATATATAGGTTCTTGATGACAGAAATGACAATAATTTTAAAGCCTAAGGAACACCTTTAAATTATATGGGCAATTTCGTGTCATGTGACCCAACTCAAAAAATCGATTTGGATGAAATTTGTACCAAGGTTAGTAATATTGGATAGTAGGCCATACACATCGGTCAAGAAGGGGTCAAAGTTGGACATTTTGGTAATACAGGGTTTTTTCAAATGAGTGTAACTTTTCACCTATTGATCCTAGCAAAAATTTCCAAAAGAGTTTAGATAGCTATTTCTTTACTGTTTACAAATTTTTTTTTTTTAATTACATACATATATTAAATTTCATTTTTATACCCTTCACCTTTGTGAGAAGGGTATATATAAGTTTGTCATTCCGTTTGTAATTTCCAAAATATAATTTTCCAACCCAATTTTCCAAAGTATGTATATTCTGAATCCTTAAAAATCAGCTAAATCTGTTCATAAACAAGGGATATATATGCAAAAATCCGAGACAACCTCTGAAAATTTCATAAAAAAAAAAAGAACACTCCTTATTCATTGCCTTTGTATGTATTTTGTTTTTGTTTTTTTGAGTATTTCGTTTCGTATGTTTGGATGGCTGTGTGTTTCATTGCCTTGTGTATATTGTTTTTGTTTCTTGGTACATTAAATTTCGCATGTTTGGATGGCTGTGTGTTTCATTGCCTTGTGTATATTGTTTTTGTTTTCTTGGTGTATTGAATTTCGTATGTTTGCATGTCTGTTGGTTTCATTGCGTTGTGTATTTTGTTTTTGTTTTTTTCTGTATTTCGTTTCGTATGTTTGGATGTCTGTTGGTTTTACTGCCTTGTGTATTTTGTTTTTTGTGTGGTTATTTCGTTTAGCGCTGTTGTTCATTTTGTTTTGCTATTGCTATAATAATGATATAGTCGGGAAAATGAATTTTTAAATACACTATGGTGAACGGTATATAAGATTCGGCACAGCCGAATATAGCACTCGTACTTGTTTTTAGTAATTTTTTAATTGTAAAAATGAAAAAAACAATATTTGTATTCGAAAAATTAAAAAATATGCTATAAAAATGTTATAAATATGCAAAATATATGCAATTTAATGCAAAATATGCAATTTATGCATTTATAACAAAATAAGTAAAAATATGCAACAACAAATCGATGCCATTTTGTTGCCAATTCTTTGATTTGAAAAGAAAACTAGGTAAAAGTTATTTTGAGTAACTGACTACAAACATGCATTTACATACAAATCCATGCGCTGATAATAATGCACTACAGCACAAAAACAAAATTCCGCAGCAAAACCCTTATTTTCTTTTCCCTGGCTAGCACAAAGTGGGGCTAGATAGTATATTTTGCGTTTTAGTTGACGATATATTGTTCTAACTTTACGCGATAAGGATACATTTTTAGATGTTGAAAACTTGAAAACTTACTAAAAACACAAACTTCGAAAAAGATCTGTGGTGATCCTGATAGTTCCGAAAATGTAATATTAGTTGTGTTTTGTTGCTATCAATGAGTGTTAACGCTTAAAGTTAGCAAACAAAACGAACATTACCTGACTTGGCATCACTCCACAGAAGAAATCTGCTAAATCTTAAAATTATTTACATTTTCTTAAAAAAGGTTTTTTTATTTGATATTTTTTTTTATTTAAATTTTATTTTAAAATATTTTTTTATTGTTTGACATAAACACATTAATATTTGTATTTTTATTTTTGAATTGGTAGCACTTTTATCGACGTTAAAATTAACTTGTATAATTTTACACGTTAACTCCTAACGTTTATAAATTTTAAATTTATATGAAATTGCCTTTGAACGTTAGCAACAAAACACAACTATTGTAAGACATCTTACAAGAAACACACACTTTTCAAACTTACCCTGATTTCCTTAATATGGTTGCCATATCCATTTTTACACCTGGGTAATTGTCTGTGTAAATGATACAGACGGCAAACACCTTTTGCTTGTATCGCAGATCTAGTTTGTATCTTTTTAATTCATTTTTATTCTGCTTACATTTTTGTATATTGTTTTGAATGGTAGTCATAGGCATATTTTTTCGAAGCGCTTCGTCAATAACGCTCTTCAATTGGGAATTTAGTGAAGGATCAGCACTTCCACCATCTTGTATTGCTAGTCTTATCTGCCGAGAAATTTTTGTAAAAAGTGCTGCTTTTTGTCCATCTTTTGCAGCCTTAATATGTCGAATATTAGCCCATTTTGAGTGTCCCGCCGAAAGAGCATATTTAGCCGTTGAAATGTTTTTTACAGTCAACGTACAACCTATACTTAACGATTTTAATTTTAAGAAATTACCGCTGCACTTTTTAACTATTGACAACATGTTTCGCAATCAACCGAGTCAAGGTGCACTTACAAGGTGAAGTCAATGCAACAGCTGATTGCTATAGCATAATTATAAATTATATAATTTTTCATTTGAAGCAGAAACAGGCGTTGAAAATTCAGTACTATCAAGGCGAATTCACATAAGGTGGTGTTATTCAATCAATGATTATTTTTTTTCACTTGACTGGTACGCACTGATATCAGAGTTTGTTAAGGTCCAAACACATACAATCCTTTACGACGAACTGCGACTGAAAGCTCGTGTTTTCTGTATGTATTTATATGAGAGCGGTCATAATCAATACGTCAAACTTGTGCACGAAGTAAAAAAGTTGAAAAATATTCAACTTTGGCGTACGAAAAAGAAGAGAAAGAGAAAATGAGAAAAACAAAACTGTAAATATTGTTGTTTGTCTTTTTTGTTGTGTATAATTATGATTTGTGTGTTTACGAAACACACAATTTTTAAATGAAATATTTTTTACATTAAATATTTTATATTGAATATTTTTTATATTAAAAATAATTTTTTCATACTTTATCAACGCAACGATTGGACATCACATTTTTTACGTTGCGTAGCTGTCAGTCGCAGTTCGTCGAAATGTATTGTATGTGTTTGGACCTTTATTGTTTACATTTTTTATATTTAAAAATTTCCGTTAAAACAGAGAAAAACTTCGTTAGTATTTTGAATAACTTATTTAAAAAATCTGAAAATACCAAGCATTTTGTAAACAAATATTTTTCTTATATAAATAATGAATAATTGGTACGCATGTACAAACTTAATATAATAATAATATTTTTTTCTATTAAATGTTAACAAATTAAACAATATTGTTTTATATTTTATATTTACAATTTGTAGTTAACGCGATTAACCAAAAAAATTCTGTCCCGGAACATTTTATATAAAGAACCCACAAGAGGTATTTACCCGACCGGTGGCAGCCGTCTTCTACGTTATGGTCAAATTTTGAGATCTAAAAAAATTTAATAAATTTTTTATAATTACACTGTGTATATAATGTGATTAACTAACAAAATTCTGTTCCGGGACGCTTTTTATAACAAAATCCATATGAGGTATTTACCCGTCCGGCGGCAGCTGACTACAACGCGTACATTTTAAAGATTACTCCGCCGGAGTAGAATTTTCCATTTACAACAAAGATTCTTTCATTCGGTATATAATTTCTCCATAAATTTTTACATTTTTATGTTTATTTTTCCCAAAAATATTAATTTTACATAATTTTGGGCACAAACTTAAGTTTTGCAAAATTAATCTGCCGGAGTAGAATTTTTCATTTGGAACAAACATTCTTCAACTCAGGATATATTTTTACAAAAAATTTTCATTAAATGAATTCGCCGCAATTATTGTTTTTGACATCAGTGCGTACCAAATGCAAAAACAAATTACATTGAAAATTTTGTTGTTGCCGAACTGCCACCATATTATCTGAATTCGCCTTGGTTTGTACAGTTCAGTCGTCGTCAAGGCGAATTCAGATAAAGTGGTGGCAGTTCTGCAACAACAACATTTTACATGTATTTTGTTTTTGCATTTGGTTTACGTAGATGTCAAAAACCATAAGTACGGCGAATTCATTTCATGAAAAATTTTTGTAAAATTTTTTTATTTTATTAAAAATAAAGATAAAGATATTAAAATTTGTGAAGAAAATATATTCTGAATTGAATAATGTTTGTTTCAAACGAAAAACTCTATTCCGGCAGATTAATTTGCAAAATTTAAGTGAGTGCTTAAAGTTAAGTAAAACTTAATTTTTTGTGAAAAATAAACATAAAAAAGTACATATTCACGAAAAAATATATATAATGAATGAATGAATCTTTGTTGCGAATGAATAATTCTACTCCGGCGGAGTAATTTTCAATATTTGGCCATAATGTAGCAGACGCCGGCCGGGTAAATACTTCATATGGGTTTTGTTATATAAAACGTTCCGGAAGAGACTTTTTTTATTTAATCACTTTATCTACATAGTGTATAAAACAATATTGTTTAATTTGTTAACATTTAATAGATTTCAAAATTAAGCCATATGTAAAAGTAAGCTGCCGTTGTTCGGCTAAATTCTTTATATGTGTTTCTTTATATAAAGTGTTCCGGAAGAGATTTTTTTTAGTTAATCACGTTATCTACACAATGTTAATATAAAATATAAAACAATATTGTTTAATATGTTAACATTTAATAAAAAAAATATTTTTCCTAAATAACATATTTGTATACATACCAATTATGCCATTATTAAAATGATATTTGTTTACGAGATGCTTGGTATTTTTAAATTTTTTACATAAATAATTCAAAATATTAACGAAGTTTTTCTCCGTTTAACGGAAATTTTTAAATATAAAAATGTAAACAATAACAAACTTTGACAGCTACGTAAACCAGGCGAATTAAGAAAAAAATTATCAGCTGATTGAATAACACCACCTTATCTGAATTCGCCTTGGTCGTCGTGTTCAGTTCGGTTGAGTTGAAAAAACTTAACATGGCCGCTGCCAAGATATATTAATTATAAGGTAGTGTTATCAGAACAGCTGATCGTTTTTTGCTATTATGTTCATTTTTCGCCGTGGTGTATAATTAATGTCAAACTTTGTTTACATTTTGTAAATGTCAAACTTTGTTTTCATTTTGTTAATGTCAAACTGGTTTCATTTTGTATATGTGAATTTTGTGATTAAAGTGAAATTGTGTGATTAGGGCATATTTTTGTGTTTTTAATCTTTAAAAGTTTAAACATCGAAATAAATTATAAATTCAAATTTATAAACATTTTTTGTTTAATATAAATTCGCTTTGATTTATTTGTCAGCTGTTTTTGAAAATTTTCCCTTACAGCCAATTCGCCTTCAAATGCAGGTACAATGTCAAACTACATATAAAAAAATATAACCAATTCGCTTGGTATTCTGAATTCGCCGAGGACACTACCTTATAAAATTAATATAACTTGGCCGCTGCTTGTTTGTGTGGCTGCTGAAGAAAAACAAAATCACTTGCTAGTTATTGCAGCATCGTGTGCACACAGTTGACTGATTTCAGTTAGCTTCTAAGGGAAAAATAAATACTTGAACATTTTTCAGTTTAGTCGGCAATTTAGAAAATAAAACTAAAAACCAAATATTAAACCCTGATATTTTCTTTTTCACCAAATTCAGTTATAAATAAACTTACAAATTTAACTGAACATTTTGAGTTAAATTTAACAGAAGAAAATGTTTCGGTTATAGACTTAACTGACAGAAATAAAAATTCAGAGTCAGAGTTTGTTATTGTTTACATTTTATATTTGAAAATTTCCGTTAAAACAGAGAAAAACTTCGTTGGTATTTTGAATAATTTATTTTAAAAATCTGAAAATACCAAGCATTTTGTAAACAAATATTTTTCTTATATAAATAATAAATAATTGGTGCGCATGTACCAACTTAGTATAACAATAATATTTTTTTAAATGTTAACAAATTTAACAATATTGTTTTATATTTCATATTTACACATGTTCTGTTCCGGAACACTTTTTATATAAACACCCACATGAAGTATTTACCCGACCGGCGGCAGATGTCTTCTACGTTATCGTCAAATTTTAAGATCTAAAAAAAAAATTGTAAATGTTATATATTTACACTGTGTATATAATGAGATTAACTAACAAAATTTTGTTCCGGAAGGCTTTTTATAACAAAACCCATATGAGGTATTTACCCGTCCGGCGGCAGCCGACTACAACGTGTAAATCTTAAAAAGTAGAATTTTCCATTTACAACAAATATTATTTCATTCGGTATATAATTTTTCCATACATTTTTACATTTTTATGTTTATTTTTCCCAAAAATATTAATTTTACATAATTTTGGGCACAAACTTAAGTTTTGCAAAATTAATCTGCCGGAGTAGAATAATTATTCCACACAGGGTATTTTTTATTTTTTTATTAATATCAATACAATGAAAGCCTTCATGGCCAATAAAATATGTGTTGTAAGATTAATAACTATGTAATAGATTAATTCATATAATTTTAATACAAAATAAATTGCAGTAATTATTAGATATATATCAGAGTTGGGAAATAGAATTTTCAAATTGTACAAAACGGCATTAACAATTGTACTTTTTTGATTCCATTTGTACCAAATCATTTTTTTTTTGGAAATTATATATCAATGAAGTACTCTCAAAATTAACAGTTCATCTGTATCTATGGGCTAGATTAGTCATTAGACTAGTAAATAAACAAATCCATTTTGTCACCAGATTGGTCCATAGACTAATAGGGAGTCTATAGACTCCCTATGGACTACACAATAGAGTCGTCTATAAACTAGACAATAGACTACTCTATAGACTAGAGAATATACTAGTCAATAGATTATAATGTTATATATTTGTCTATAAACTAGATAATAGATGTCTATAAACTAGATAATAGAATAGCCTGTAGAGTATACTCTAAATACTAGATAATAGGATAGTCGGTAAATATCGCAAAGGCTACTTCATAGACTAGAACCTAGACTAATTTATAGACCAGACCATAGAAAATTCATTAGACTACGCCAAAGTATAGTAAAATGTACATTAAAAGTCTATTCAAAATAGCACTAAAAATACCCTTAAATTATTTAAAATCGGATAAAATAAGTCCTAAATAAATAATAAATAATTGTGGAAAATTATCTAAACGATATGAGAGAATATAAACAAGAATTTTATTTTTCCTCTTCAGAATTTATCGTGAATTCCCGATGAAAATCGGTCCACATTTGTCGACAGTCTCTATAAAAAAGCACAACAACCTATAGGTATAGCGATACAATTCTACGCAAACAAGTTTTATGTGAACCATGGCATAGCTCTGCCATAATGTGAACCTACATACATATGTACATATATCTCTAATAAATCGTGTTGTTACCACTCTTAAAATTTACTTTTGTCTGTTTTAGAACGATTTTCAATATAAATATTTTGAGTCTAGCGTTAACCATTCGTTTTGACATTTAAAAAA